TTTGGCCACAATGTTCAGAATACGATCATATAGCTATATTATCATAATATCAGGGGTTCTGACTCAAAGCTTAGATATAGACATTGAACATGACTCCTACACATACCGAAGTCTGGCGAAGCCATCATGCAGATGTGAGACTAGTAATGCATGTCGTAAAGAATTTTCATAGCGAAGAAAACCGTGGAGGTGGAGACACTGGAAGCTGTTCAATTATGGTACAGTGAATGGACAGACCTGAAAGATGATGTAAAAGTTTCAATGAAACGGTTCAAACTTAGAAAGTCCGGTTATATAGTGTTTTCTTCACGTTACTCGTTGTGGAGTTGTGTACCAAGTTATGAACGTGCATCCGGTACGTGCCATACATTTGCAGGGCTACTTCCAGGTGGACAGCAAGTCTATGTTTCGGTTAAGCGGATACGCGATGCAAGCCTATTTTGGGGACTACGTAAAGTAAGCAAAGACACGTCTTACCGATTGATTATCTTATCTGTTATTATTTAGCGAAAGTGTGGCCAAAAATCGTATGAAGCGTTTACCTTTGTTTCCCGCATCCCTTCTGAAGGAGTATCCTTCTCTTGCACACTGGTATTTCGTAAACTGCTTCCGTTAAAGTTAGTCAGTAATTTGCTTGTTTTAGTGAAGACAAACTTACGGAAATTTACAAGAGTCTCTTTGGCATGTCACGTGGAGCTGCCATCCTTAAGTATGAACATATCCGTATATGAAAATAAGCATGTTAATTTAATGTTTTTTTTAATTTTGGCTGAATTTATCTTTATTGTCAAGATCTTATAACTGCAATTTGCTTGTCTTGAAAGTATTACCTGAATTTTTTGTTTTTGCACATTTCTTTATCTTCAGCAATATGAAGATCACTACGATCAGTGCTCGTCAGATGCAAAATGCGTATAGTCTCAGCTTTGGAAAGAAGGAAATTGCTGAATAGAAGAGTGAACATTGCCTATGTGGAAAGACTGTAGAAAAACCTCCAGGTTAAATAACAAGCATGACGTCCTTCACGAAATGCAAGATGAAGAAACTGAAGAAGCAGTGGACATCCACGTAATATATCAGAATTTGAAAAATGCGACTATGGAAAGGTCGGAAACATAACATGATCCAAATAAAAATTGTGATGGTCGATCAAAAAATTATGAAGTAAACGAAGATATGATAAAAGCAACAGAAATCAAAGATGGAATATGTGAAACTTGATAAAACGGGTAAAAGACATCTAAGCATTCAATTGCTGATTGATAAAAGAAACTATTAAAAATATCTGAAGCATAAAGTTTAATGGACGATTGGCGGTCCGGAAACGACGACTTGTAGCTGTCAAACAGAGGAGGGTACTGTGATCAGGACAGAAAAGAAATTCTAAACAGCGTAGATTTCTATCGTAAATGCTACAAAGAGGAAAACAGCGTAAATGACAATATGGAAAACGAGGATTACAATATATTACATCTTGCGACATGCAATAAAACAGTCAAAGAGAAGATGGGCTCCTGTCGAAAACGTTGTTACATTTGAACTCATGGAATTACGAGGTGAAATGGTGGTCAAGATTTTGGTGCGCTTGTTTTCATGTTGTCTGAAGGAACTAAAATGCCAGAAGATTGGGCTACCAAATCGATGATTCTGTTTGTCGATCTGAAAAACTACGATTAGTTTGTTGTCAGTCATTTACAAGGTCTTTATTAAGGTGCTATTCAATTAAAATTCTACTCTGCGGAACCAAGGAGTAAGCAGGATTCAGAAATGGATTTGGTACGATGGATTACCTTCAGGCGATAGAACAAGTGACCCAGACAGTCAGCATGTATCTGTTTTCTCTTTGCCTGGGGTTCGTTGATTTCGAGAAAGCCTTCGATTCATTCAGTCCATATTTGTTCTGCATGAATTCGTTTGAGGAGCCGGGGAATCAAAAAAAGTGCAGAGAACATGATTCACAAGAATGTAAAGTCTGTTGTGATGCCGCGTGAATGCGCAGGCAAATTCAAAATCGAAACAGCTTATGACAGGGTAAGGTAATATTACTGAAGCTGTTAACAGCAGCCACTGAAGAGGGTTTTCGAGCTATACCATTGGGAAAATCTGGAACTGAACACCAATGCGCATACTTAATCTATCTGCGGTTTGTGAACGATATTCTGATCTTCTCACTCCAAAGAACTCTAAAGAAAAATCAAGAGCTGAACGACGCCAGCACGAAATGAGACTGAAAAGGAATCTGAATACTCAGGCCATGTTTAATAAATAGTGATCTAATGTTTAATGTGATCTCGCCATTTGTGGAAGTCAGTGAACTGAATCTCGAAAAATTACGAAACTGCATCTATGCGTACCAGTTGATCTCTCCAATGGACAACTGAATTTGTGAAACCAACAGAAAAGCGAAAATGGCACGATGCATTTTTAGAAGATTGAAAATATTCTTATCGCGGAATCTGTCCTGGTGCTTGAAACGGAAGGCTGTTGATGTTTTAATAAACCGTTTATGCAGTATATTCCCAGAGAATGAGTCCAGTACCATTTTCTAGTTTGGCAAGTCGAACATATCTGTTTAAATCATAAACAAAGTTATTTTATTCTATAGGTAATGGGCGATAGATCAGTTCACAGGCTTTGTCTGTTTTGAAAGAACTTTCATGTCTATCGCATACCCAATTATTAGCACAGATATGTCGCGGTTCATGCCGCCTGTACGATCGTGTTGGCATGGTATTTTGCAGTTACCGTTACACAGCTGTAGAACAATTCGTTATAATTTTCCTGATCATGTGAGACAGCAACATATTAATGTTCGTTCTGAATTAATTTCATAATATAATTTTCAGAGCTTCTTCATGGATTTAAATATGAATATTATGTGAGTTGCGTGTTAGATTTGTAGCTGATGTTAAATGAATTACAGATTATTGGTTAGGTGAGTTTCATTAATCTGCTGATCACTTGTCCGAAGTGCATGGTGAGAATTACTCGTGTATGAATACGTTTAAATTTTAAAATAGATCATGATAAATGCAAATGTTTCACTCTTCATAAATATAATAAGGTCCAGGGTTCTGATATCCTTAAGAATCTTGATGTACAGATGCTGTTTCTTCAGATTGAGAAGTGAGAGCTGTGATTGTTTGGGCACGGCTTGCGAATGCCTCTAAAAAGGAAGGCAAAGCAACTGCTACTGTTCATCTTTCGGGCCGAAGACCCAGGGACGGTAATAAAGACTCGATACTGGTGTGTGAACGAAGTCTGTTCTGCACTCATGTTAACTTTACTGAAGCTCAGACACTGGCACCAGATCGGAAACATTGGCGACACTGTTTTACGCATCTGCCTCTGCGACACGAATTGATAAGCGGTCGTCGAAACTGTGTGATTAAATACAAATATGTTAAAACTGATATGCAAAGTAATCTTTTTACGTGATATAAATACATTCGAAATCTCACGTTATGTGCAAATTTAGGCATATGAGTAGTATTTAATGTGATTTTCAACGTTAATGCATTACGTAGACTATATCGTAAATGCCATTGTGTAGACTGAAATAGATTCATGCATATAAAGATGGAGATTTATTTCAAAAATTAAAAACATTCTCATACTTTACTGATTAGTGCGCACTTTTGACAGGGTTAAATTTATCTAAATTGTATTAGAAGTTATTTAGTGAACCCGCCAAAGTAAGTGAACCTTGTTCTACAAATAGCTTGCATTATTTTTGTTTAGTTACATGTCGCTAGTGGAGAAGATGGAAAATTACGGCATGCATTTCTATGAGGTGAAGGTAAGCGTTAACAGGAGCTAAATATGTGAACGTATGCATACATGCGAGCTTGTAAAATTTAGGAGAAAAGCGGTGCCTCGGTGTTGTTGGGTCTGTGTAGCAAGGGACTCTACCAGTTCGACGTGAACGATCCGGCGGTGACTCGTCAGGTACGTACTTGCCACCCTTTTTTTTGCTAATCCTTCTGTTTGGCTACAGGTCAGGTTCGTACTTTTAGCGTTATCACTGGAAACAACTGGAGAACCTATATTACCGGGATCGAAAGTTTTCGGTCGAAGTTCATGATCCAAAACGGCATGTGAATTTACATTTTTATTGTACAGATTTGCGCTTCAGACAGACTTGTCTGTCACTGTTCAGATTTGATACTCGATGAAATGGGAAAATATGATGACTTTTTGAAGAAAACTGAGATAGCGAGAGTGCGGCGGAACTGTAAAACTGCCTCTCAGATCGTAGCACATGATCTATTGGGATAACTGCCTGAAAATTTTACAGATTCAGACTCAGATCTGTGCTGTATGAAATATCATATATGGTGACGATATCGAGGAGATTGTGGACTGTCAAAATAACGAACCATTTGAGCGAACTAAGTTAGGATGTTAGCCGATGCGATGGATATGAGGACATGTCGTGCATTCTAACAGCGATTTCCTGTCACAGTCACGTTAAAAGGGGGGGAGGGGTGTCAGATTCCTTCACTGTATAAATGATTATATGATTAGAAGCACAGACAGAAGGGTGAGGAAGGGGTACAATCCGCATTTATTATTGTTTCATATGTTTTATTGGCAGCTTATTAGATCCTAATATGATCTGGTGGTTTGTCAGACGAGCAAAAGCATTTGTAGTTATGTGCATAGGTTGCAGCGTGCCTACAATGAAGTATGTTTCTTTTTGATGCCATTTTCACTGATACTCAGAGACCTGAGGTTTATGATAAACACTGATATATACATGTGGTTCACAAAAGAAAAATTCAAATGAAACCGTGTTCTTTTATTCTGCAAATCTGATGTTTTGACGTTCAGTCCATTTTTCATTTTTTTATTCACCTCTTCTACGAGCGTTTCAGCGCAAAATGTGTTCTTGACTCAGTTTTTTAAAAATTAGTGTCTCTTGTCTACTCTTTAGAAGTCTCTTTAGTAGAGCCTGTTTAGAGGTTTATTTAAATTGGAACGTAAGCATATAGTGACTCCCAGATGATCGTAATTCACGCATTCATAGAATAACAGTTGTCTTAGTAAATGCAAAACCCAACAGTCAGTTATTGTAAGGAACAACGCTAGATAGTTTTCTGATCACTCGTTAGCCGTAGACACAACTTCTGATGATTCACAGGATGAACTTCGGAATGAGGAATTTTCTGCTGTTGTAGATGGTAATTTGTTACCTGGAACACACTGGGAAGTACTCCACGTCTGACAAATTTCCCGTGAACCGTGAGAAAGTGGTGAGTGGTATATTTTGATTTAGCACTACCGTTTTGTCGCTTCATTAGTCACTCCAGTCAGCACAACATGCTTTCTTATGTCGATAAATGAGAGCGATGTCCTCTTGTAATACATCTGTCTCGATTTATATCGGTAGTATGTTCAAAACTTGTTGTGCAGAACAAGATTTCTAAAGGGTTCAGTCGTTTGTGCCACTTGTAGTGCCTCGTTTCAAAGTCGTTCTGATGTTTGGTACAGAATTAGTGTAGTTTCGTATGCTATATGTATATGTAACTGAATTTTTCTGAAGTATGGCTTTTGATGGGTAGTAAGTAACTTGATAGCAGCAGTAGAGCGAGTAACTAATTAATTAGCAAAAATATATCAGAAGGAAGTTGATCAGTTCGTTAGAAAGTCAGTTTAGCAAGCGAGTAAGAAAATGGTTAGCAATTATGTAATAAATAAACACGCAAGTAAGTGTTTATTTAAGTTATTAAGGAAGTGGCTAAGGAGTTTAGGAAATATGTGAATGAGTTTATTGGCAAATAAATATCCAAAGAATTAAGGCAAGTGCAAACTTCTTGTGTAAATAGGCGCGAATGTATGCAGAAAGATGAGTAGGTACGTTAGCAGATAAGTGAGGAAGCTTTTAAGAAAGTTGTTAAACAAGGAGCTAAGGTGATATTGCAGGTATACCACGTAGTAAGTAATAACGAGTAGGTATGAAAGTCTGGCAGTTGGCTATATCATTAGTTATTAACTACGACGATAATTCATTAAACAAGAAAATATCTTAATAAAAAAATGAAATAGTCAGCATGCAAATAAGTTCGTAAGAAAGTTAGTCAGTGAGCTAGCAGCTAACTGCGCATATAAGTATTCAAATAATAAATGTGTCAGTCACCAGGTCTTAGAAAATATGAACCTTAGTGTCAAAGTTTCAAGTGCGTTTATAGGTATATGTGTAACTGAGTCAGTAATTAAATAAAGAAAGCATGCACCAGTTTAAGAACAGATCGTTTCAGATAAGGGTGGAAGTATGTGTAAGGGTGTAGATGTTCGTTATTTTGTTAGTTAATACATCGAAAATGCGCAACTGACTTACTAAGCGGTAACCAAGCTAGAAGGTAAATTTTTACCTAAATCGGTTGAATGGATACTCGTTTAGCAAGCACGTAAATTTTTCAGTCATGAAGACAAATGGGTAGTTTAGTTAGTCAGCGAAACAAATAACAAGCAAGTTAGGAGCTTATTAAGCATTTAATTACCAGGCAACCATGCGAGCTGTTTAAGTAGTCAGTAATGAAGTAGATAAGTTGGTTTGCTAAATAATAAGTATGGAGTACATAAGTAATTAAATAAACAGAAAAGTACATACGAGTTGGCTGGTAGGTAATTTAGTTGGAAGGTAAAGTGATAAGTAAGTAAATATTTTAGTTCGTAAATTAAGCCAACTGGTTCATTTTTTTGATAAAATATAGTATCTAAACTTTATCAAGATTAAATTAATACTGTGTGTTTAAATGACCAATTCATTAAGCAGTTTACTAGATGAGCAGTTAAACCGGTAGTTTATATGTATGAATGTGTATATGCGCGTATGAGAATTGACAAGTAAATAGACGTGATGGCAGATGAAGAGGTTAGTAAGTAATTGACTGATTAAGTTAGTAACTAGGTAAAATTATTCTAGCTATTATTTTAATAATCTTCAAATGGCTTTCTCTTCACAGATTTTGTTATAATAATCCCGACGTTTCGGATCGAGTTGGATACAGATGTAGGTGTACTATGATCGTTGTCATGTAATGTCCCTTATGATATATCCAAACTCCGTCATAAACGTCAGGATTTACTATAATATAGTTTCTAGTGGGGTAAACCTTTTAAGATAATGACGATTAGGATCTTTCTACTTCGTGCACAAATGATTTAAATAATGTCTTAAATCAGGCTATTGAAGCAAGTAAATAAGTAAATGTTTCAGCAATTTAGTAAGCGATTGAGTAAGTAATTTGGACAATTAGTCGCTTAGGTAGTCGGTAGGTAACTAAGAAATAGGTTGCAAATAATAAAACGTGCAAGCTTATTTAAGAAAGTTAATGAATTAGTATATAAGTAGTTAATTTTATCTTCCACCTGCAGAATTTGAACTGATTTTAGTCTGTGGTTATATCATAAGGTACTAATTTCTCAATCCTTCAGTTATCTCATTAATACCTGATGGTATGAATGTACATCACCAGTGTTTAACTATACGCACTTTGTTCTGTGCTCCTTTATTTGAGTGGTTAGATTATAGAGTGGCCTGAACTATGCTTCACCGACGCGCAACAGCATATAATTAGAATACTCTGCGTGATTGTCGGTAGTATGGGTTTTTGTTGAGATAGTAGGGTAGAACATTTTATAATTCGATGCCTCAGTTTCGTTGGTTGATATGCTGTTATGTTGCTAATTCGGCTGTTTTATCGAGCTTGAATATGTGGACCGAACGAAGCATTGATGTTTAACATGATTCTAATGAAGTGCACGCTGTTTTTGTCAATTTGAGAATAATGACTTCCAATACAATGTTTATGACTGCTTTGTGATCTGAGTTTTTTATTTGTTTGTTTTGGCGCTTTGTGTAGTTGTGTGTAATATTTTTTTCGTTTGTAGTGTTGTTCAGTCGTTAAGTTCTTTCAATCTTCTTGAAGATGCCAGTGAGGAGTTCATAGATCAGAAGGATGAACTGGTGGCCGCGGTGCATGATCCTACTACGCAGTAGGTGTTCATGAAACTAATACCTTTTTCATCAGTGCCGTTGGTTGCTGTGTGCGTTTGCTATGCTCACTTTGCACATGAATGAGATGAGATGCAGTGCATAGTAGTCAACGGATTGATTGATTGACTTAAGTTCGTTCCTCTCCTTCGCTTTTTCACCGTATCCATTTAGGGTGTCCCTCAGCCGTCGCTCATTTATCCACAGTAACGTTTACGTCGTTGTCTTCTTATGTGACACACCGCAGCTGTGCAAAAACCTCTGGTCGATGGCAGTGGCGCAGCATCATTTCTATCTGGACTACAGATCGAAGAAGGTAATATTTTCCTTGTCCTTTTGAGACCGTGACCTTGAGTGAAAAGTGGACAGGTTAAAACCTTGTATGCGCAGTAGTGGCATTAAACCCGTTTTAAGGATTTTTTGGTAAAGACTTTGCAAAAAGGATGTCGTTTCAATTTCGTCGGTTCATAGTGTCTACATTTGCACTCGGCATTTGTCATATGTTAGGAATATCAGGTCAACTCTGTTGTGCTGTCATCAACTGCAAAAATGTATTCGATTACATCGAGTTGACGGCTATGTTAAATGCCTGGCACGAACATGGCATCAATCTTTTTTGCGTCAGCCTGATTAAAGAGTTGAGCATCGATTACACGGCGGACACCAGGCTGTTTGGTGAACCACGTAACATCAGTATACATAGCGAAGAGTGCAAAGAAGATAGAAGATACCCGTACAGAGAATCTTGCCACTGCGGCCTTGATAGTGGCGTTATAGCCGGCTGTATTTGTGCAATGTTATAAGGTCGACGAGGGCTGCTAGCACATTCGCTCTCAGTGAACGACCACGTCTTTTTCGTTCAAGACGGGATGATGCTCCAGTGGTTGATTTAGCAGTTGTAACAAGAACCTTGCATCATTGAATTGAAGGTTCTCCAAGAGGAAATGGATGCATATGAGCGCTGGTGACTCTGATGGCTCTGTTTCTGTGAATGGCAAATGAATCTGGAAGAATTCACAGTCTGTGTCTACCTTGGCCATCAGGTGAACAGCACGAACTGTCTATGCTGGGAAATCTGCAGATATTAAGGTGACAAGAACCAGCTTTAACCTTATTAAAACATCAGTGCTTGAAACTGAGCTGTCCATGCAGCCTAAGAAAGAACTGGTTTGTTCATTCATCATACCGGCTATGATCTACACCCTGAAAGCCGACAGGAAGCCGGTGAAACAGCAGTAAAACGAAGAACACGCAAGGAATTCCTTCGAGATCAAGTTTTGAGTAGAGACATTCGACAGCAGACTGGAGTAACGGATATACTCTGTACCTTTAACGATGCCAAGAACAGATGGGCGAACGACGTGGCGGCATTGATTGGCGTCTGATGGATACAAGGAGTTGCAGACCGGACTTCCATTCGTCCTCAAGCTTTCTTTGTGTTGTTCCTAAAAGGCTGGGATGAACGGATTGCAAAATTCTTTGATGTGTGTGATGTAGGAATGGAAGATTGAAACAGAGTCAATGTGCATTCTTGACCCTCCCACAGACAAATACAGGTATATCAAGAATATGTGTTAAATTTTGCACCAAAGTTTTGATGTTGATTTCTGGGCGATTAAGAATTTTAAACAGTGCTTAAATTGTGTGCAAGGAATCGATATCGACCTTT